GGATGGAGACTTGGACCTTTGACCTTGGGCTTGTAATTGAATCATTTATAGACTGGCCCAATTGGTATAAATTAGACCAAAATACCATCTTTTGTAGATAAATTGTCTAGGAAAGTCTCCATGATATGTATTAGAGAGAAAAAGCTGGCAAGGTATTGTTTTACTGGTAAAAGAATTCCAATAACAGAGGGACTAATGTCATATAGATGGTAAATAAGTACTTGCAAATGCAAGCAAAAGAAACAAAGGATTTTGCAGTTTGATTTATTTAGTTGTAATAAAACGACTCTTAAAACTCACATGGCATGGATTTCTTTAGTTAGTCATGGAACCTAAACACATCTTTAAATGACAAACACTAAGAGGTTGCTGATAAAAAAACTCAGACGAGATTCAGAAGATGCTAAAATAGAGTGCTTTAGAATTATAGCTAAATTAATATTAGAAACATTAACAACTAGAGACCTAGAGTACATAGTATTATCTTGCATTAAAACAACCTAACAAGGCCACAACATCATAAATAATGAAATAGCTAGATACAATAAAACAGTTAAGATTACATGCTCATAATCCATCTATATATATATATATATATATATATATATATATATATATATATATATATATATATACTAAAAGACAAGCGCCTCAAGGTAAGATTGACAAATGTCTCTTTATGATTCGTTGTCTCTTTTAATTTTTTATTATACATTATGTTTCCATATAAAAAAATTCTAAATTATTTATTCTAAATAACTACATAAACTATTATAGTAAAGTATAGCAATATTATTTCTAAAATAGTGTTAAGATTATATTTTGGGATATTGCCTTTATTAATAGCATACTACCTGTAGGGAATATTTCAAGCATCCCACACTTGAGCCCCACTGTGATCATACACTTAAGCATGGTGGCGTCGAAAGGGAAGGAAGCTAGAGTAAAAGAGTCGCAAACAAGTTTTAGGAACTTGTAAACCGTTCACAGGGTGAAGGTTACACCCCTTCACGATCCATGAGATCGCTAACTCCATAGTGGTATGGAACCATGACTGGATATTCGGGGATGAAGGTACAAATCCAACCTAAAAGAGATTGAACCTGCCCTAATAATAAGCCTCTACTTTATTCTTCTCATATTCATGTGTGCTTTCTGACTAACATACAATCAATAGGTTAACCCTAAACCTGTCTAATCTATGTTGGTTGAATATTAATGCACAAACAAATCTATTATTGGCGATCACTTGAATTATAACGACATTAAACTAAACAAGATTATTAATTATCTTATTAAGCGTGATTACAAGTACAAATTCCCTTCAAACATGCATAAAAGGCGTGATCAAGCAATAACAATAATAATATATCTAACAACATAATATATTGACAACAATCATCATCATCATCATCATCATCATCATATCATCATGATAATCTCAATCTCATAAAAGCATAATAATATTAGCAAGATCCTAGGCATGATACTAACAAGATTAACAAAAAATCCTAGCATGTCACTAAGCGATAAAAATAAAAACTTTAACCATAACATGATACTAACATGATATTAGAAAAGCAATAGAAAGCATCATAAACATACATAATATCAGAAATATTAGTTAACCGTAAACATGATACTAGGAAGTAATAAAAACATCCTAACATGATACTAGGAATCAACAAAATAATCTAAGCATTATTCCTATATCAAAATACCAATAATTAAATTACTTTGATGCCTCGTATCTCTTTCTAATAATAAAATACACGCGTTAGTAACTTCAAGGAAAATAATAAATCAAACAATTAAATTAAATAATTGAAATAGGGATTTGGGACCAAACCCTCATAAACTATCAACCTTTCACGTCTAGGGCGAAGGCAACTTCGAACTTGGTTAGGTGTGTCTAGAACTAATGTATGTGGAATTTTGTAAGAGGGGAAAGTTTAGAAAAAGAATAGAGAGAGAGAAAGCTTCTAGCTTTTAGAGAAAGAATAGGGAGAGATGATGATTGTGAATGAATAAAAAACGGGGAGAAATGACCCCTTTTTATAGAAAAAATAGTCCGGAAACAAATTGAGTCCTATTCGGAATAAAATACCTCCTGTCGCCAACGACAGGAGTTAGCGCCAGGCGACAACTGTTAGCGCCAGGCGACAGACTTGTCGTCTCGCGCTAAGTCATAAATCAAATGCGCTTTGTATGCGGAATCCTCTTCTTAGTACGATTAAGTAGCTAATTCCGCGTTTATCAAATTAAAATCAGGTTTGTGATAAATCACATATTTTATTCAAAATAAAACTCTTTAAAATATAATTATTAATCCTAATCTCATTAGAATTTAAAAGAACCTTTTAGATATTCTAGATGATTAAAATCAATCCTAATAACTTTAGAAATTATAATTAATAGGCCCTGCTCTAGAACATTGGGCCGCATATAAAATTCACTTTAGGCCCAATTTAGTATTTTGGTCATAACTTGCTCATCATTCATCGGAATTGGGCTTATAATATGTCGTTGGAAAGCTCTTTTCGAGCCCAACCCAACTACACTATTTTTGGACAATTATCATGGAATAAACTAAGTTGTATTGACTATTTTCATAAACAAAATATAAAAAGGAATATTTTCAAAAACAGAAAGAAAGATATTTTAATAAAAACATCCACATCACTAGACTTTTCACAGTTTCACTTCGTTCGATAATTAAATGACGTGAAAGATATTCATCAATGGATTTGGTTTTGGGGAGACACATTTGGGTGTCTACACTAGCATAAAGTGATATTTCTTTGCTCATAATGTAATCAATTACTATAATAGATGGTCGTGAAAACGGTCATAGCATCTATTATAATGAACAAAGGAAAGAATTATACAAGTAGTTCGGATTACATAATACGAGCATAATGGTCAGAGCATCTATTATAGTAATGTCTAGAAATATTATTTCTCAAATAAAAAAAAAAGTCTACAAAAATAATGGTAGCATGATACGGTAAAAATAAAATATTCTAAAAATATTCAAATCAAATCGTAGTATTCAAATAATAAAATACGATACAATATTTTTTTTTGTATTATCATCTATATAAATAATAGTCATAGTCATAACATATATGTCTTTGTAATTTTCATTTCAAGGTCATATTATATATCTATATTATGTAAAGATTAATATATTGTTCTTCAATATTACATCAATAATAACAATATACTAAAAGATACACCAACAATGACACGTATCATCTCCTGGTGTGTCCTTAAGTTTTTTTTTTTCCTAGAAAAACACTTACTGTGTAAAGATTTGATGAGGTAAAAAAAATTTGACTAATAAGTCAATTGCCTTAATTGTTAAAAATCAATTATTGTTTAAATCTTTACTTTTAGAAAGAATTAAAAAAAAATCAATCACAACATACACTAGGAATAATATCATAGATTATAATACAATCCATAATAATAATAAAAGATTGTTATAAATTATTTTGCCATGCTAATTACCTTAATAATTAATAACTACATACAAGTAATAAACATTAACCAATAACTACATGATATATTGATTGATTACTAATAATTTTTTTAAATATTTGTATAAGATATTACCAAACATATTTTAAAACATACTGATATTCAATTAGAGTTCATAACAAAAGAAAGATTGAATAAAGAAATAATAATACATTATTCGAAAGATATTGATTAATATTGTAAATGACTTGATTTTGAGATAAAATAATAGCGTGATTTTAATAGTGAGTACGAAGGGAATTGAATTATTTCTCGAGGAAGATATATAGCTTTAAAAATTTATTTAATTAACAAGAAACTAACGGCACCACACTGAATTACATTAAGCTAATTATATGATCGAATGCATAAAAGCTAATTAGTTCTTATGTTATTATTTCAATAAATATTTTGATAGTTTATTGCACAATAATATTATTAGACAAATTTCTTACGCGAACTAAAATAGTGTAGAGAATAGCTGAATTGATAATAATACTAAAAATTACCGTGCGTAGCATGGAACCTAGTCTAGTTCACTATGATATTTGACCCTACCCCTCTTAAAGAATCATGGTGAATAAATTAAATTAACTTTGATTAAAAAAATATATATCTAATTTAATTTTAGATTAATATAGAGGTCTATGAATTGTTAATATTTAAATTATTGAAATTAAATTAACTTAGATTAAAAAATATATATCTAATGTAACTTTTTCTTAAAAAAGAGCTAAACAATATTTTCCTAACAAATTAAGCTAAAAATTTATGCGTATATAATAATCTAATGTAATTTTTTCTTAAAAAAGAGCTAAACAAAAATTATGCCAAAAATTTATGCATATATAATAATTAAAGATTCCATACACTTTTAAAATATTAATTTTAATTAACATAGATTTGTAATGAAATTTATATGAAGAATATTCTCATTTCTATAACCATTAAAATATTTCCTTTTTAATTTAATGCTAATATTCAAAATTTAAATAATTATAGTATAAGAATACATATCCATAAAAAAAATATTACATACATGATTAGGTAGTTGATGAAATTTGTCTTTTATAAATTAACCAATATTCATATCTATATATTTGTGTTGTATATTCTATTAGTTGTTGATTAGTTGTATGGATATTATGTGCTCCGTAATTGTTTATGACACAATGTTTTGCTTAGGAAAAATATATTTGTATTGGGTCAAATATAAGGTAAGTTATTATTGTGTCTACATTTTTGGTGAATATGACGAATAAAGCAGATATTCAATTGTATAGCTGCTAAAATTGGATAGTATGGTAAGAAAATTTTAGTTTTTATCTATGGGAAGTAGGAAAGATTTAGTCTATATCTCTTTTAGTGTTATGTGGATTATTATTCATTTATTTTTCAAATAAACAAATAACATTATATAAAAAAAGGGAAATAAAATAAGATAAATCCAAATGACATAATTAATTTGTGTAGTGAAAATGAACCCTTTATTACTAATTGAATTATATTACTTATTTTTTTCCCTACGGGATTAATAATGTTTTTTTTCAAAAACTTAAGACGCAGTAAATTGATTTACAAATCGTGCATTGCACGGTCAAACAAGGGCACAAAATTTTCCGAGATGACATTGGCATTACTAGCTGGGTTAAGGTGGAAGCTAAACACAATCCATCTCAAACAATCTCTTGAATAGTATATTTTTTAGAGGGCCTCTAGGCTGGAACATTACACACTTTTGATTCGCTTTGAAGAGCTCCAATTCTCTAATCCACGCTTTGTTCCTACTGAAATGCAGATTCCACTTGATCTTGGATAGGACATTATCAAAGTCACGTGGCCGGGGCAAGGCCAGACCATCAAAGACATCAGCAGGAAAGCGTTCAAGGTCCGAAGGCCTTAATCCAAGCCACTTGATGTCCAAACGCTCAATATGATTAACACAAAATTCCTCAGCTTCGTCGAGTATATCCCAACCATAAAGGTAATTCATATGAAGCTGAGGAGTGTCAAGGAATGTTAGCAGCTCAAGCTGGTGGGGGGTAAGATCAGTGACAGCGACAAAAGGCATGTCAGGGTAGAATACCTTAATAACTCGGAGAAACAGATAGGACAGTCTGTCCCAGCTGACGTGAACGACAAGGTATCTAGAGTCACTTAGGGCTGACAGAATGCCCCAAATCCGAGAACTGGGAGTCAAAAGGACATGGGTAGCAGAGGTGTAAAGAGAGCCAAAATCTTGGAGGTTGTCAATAGAAAGGGGACGACCGCCGCAGGTCTTGAGCTCCAAAGGGCCATCAAAGACAGGGAGTGAAGTTGCAGCACGGAAGGGTAGCATCTCTGTTCTAGGCCTCCTAGTGAAAAAAATCAAAATCATGGTATTCCCCGACATCTGAATCAGGCAAGTCAGGTGGCCTGGTCTCAGACCAGCGGGGACGATAGATATGGTAATATCTGCACAACAGCTCTTGAATACAGATTCTATTGTCCAATTATCCTCCAATACACCGAAATCACCGGGTATCTGTAGGAAGTCTGTTTTAGGGTCATTAAATTCATTGAGGTCAGGCCTTGATTCACGAACAATGGCAGCCCTGATGTCACCAAAGGTATTAGACGGACGGAACTTGCAGCCCTCCAGAGTAAATGGACGGGCCAAAAAGGGTTTTATGAAAACCTGCAAAGGAAACCAAATCAGTATATCACCACACTGCCACAAGCAATTCTATTTAAAAATAAACAAACTCACTTGACTCCTAAAATACATATACTCAAAACAAACAAGGAGCTCTGATCTATTAAAGTAGCTTAAAAATAAAGATCAAACTCACCGAAATCAGTGAATCCTCATCCCATTCCACTATTGAATCACCACCACTACTGCTGCTGCTACTATGATCACTATCCATCGAAAAGCTATGCCCAAGTTTTTTGTTCCTATACATTTTTTCAAAAGAAGTACTCTGTTAGTCTTATCTACGAGTAAATGCATAGTGGTGCAGTGGTGCACCACCGAATAACCAATCATCAAAACAAAAGCACTTCGTTTAAGCCATTTAAAATATTTGTTCGTTTGGAAACAACAAAACTCAAAATATAACTTATATTAAGTTTCACACAAAATTCTGGAACGATTTCCCTAAAAATGGTTCAATTATAAATTAATTCCCTATATTTGCATTAATTAATCACCACCATTACGAAACGAACATCCTCAACAACAACATCTACAGAAAATTCTGAAAAGAAAAAAAAAATACAACATCACCAATAAAAAAAAAAAATTCACAATTGAATAACAACTAATAAACTAAAATAAACGTTGAACAAAGGAGAAAGTAAGACCTAAAATCTTCCCTTAAAAACAAACAAAGTGATTGTAGGAGATAACGTAACCGAAGTAGGGCGACAAAGAAAATTCTAGAGAAGAATTAAACGTAAATTGGGATGAATCCAGAGGAGTTTGGGAAGAAGTCGAAGAACCTTATTTTTTTTTTTTTTTGAAGAGAGGGACAAAAGGAGTGTTGGGACTCCGTAACTTTAAATACATTTTGAGAAAGGTTTTTTTTTTTTTTCAAATTTTGAAATAACGGGAAAGTGGGAAAGGATAGTGTTAAAGAGGTGGGTTGAATTATTTTCAAATCTAGTGAATCAGACTGAAAATTTATGCATTGCTACAACAGATTTATAGACCCCATCGTCGATGAAGGTTGTAAATCACACCGATATGATAGAGGTAGAGCTGTCAAAAATCGTACTGAACTGGTGAATTTGAATCGTTTTGAACTGTTCCAAAAAGGAAACGAATCGCTTAGAACCTGTTATTTTAAAACCGTAAATCGACCCGACCCGATTTTTTAAAACCTGAAACTGGACCAATCCGAATGTTTGAGAACCTTTAATGAACCGTACCCAATATCAAGCCGAGCTGATACAACCCAAAACCGAGAACAACCCAAACCGAGTACTTTTGAACCCAATAGCAACTCGACCCATTGTAAACCGAAACCGTTTAAGCATAACAAAACTCGATAAACCCAAATCGTTTACAACCTGTAACTGGTTAGGATTTAACCGTTTATAACCCGTAGTAAGTTATGATCGAACCGTTTACAACCCGTAATTTGTTATAACTGAATCGTTTATAATCCGTAAGTCTGTAACCCGTTATGACCGTAAAATAATTTTTTCTTTTTTTTTGGTATATTTTATCAATAGTAAAACAAAAGGGTTTAATTTGAATTATAAAGTATTTATATTGAAAAGGTTTGGAATTTTATGCTACAATATTATATTATCCTCTAATGAGTAATGGCTTATAAAACACTATATTGTATTAAAAAAAAAAATTAAAAATCTAAATCAAAAGCTAACTCCAGATTTGTTAATATTATTTGATCATTAAAATCATTATACAAAAAAGGGACATAAAGTTAAACAACTAAGACCCTATTCTTTTGAGATTCTGGCAGAGCATAGCAGATTTTAGCAGAGCAAAGCGGAGCAGAGCAGAGCAGATTTCAGTAGAGCAGAGCAGATTTCATTATTATTATTAATATTATCGCATTATTATTATTATCATTAAATTTTTAAAGTTAAATATTAATTATTATTATAATATTAATTTTAATAATTATTATTATTAAATATTATTTAATTATTATTATTATTAAAAATTAATAATAATTATTATCTTTAAATATTAGTTATTATCTTAATATTAATTGTTATTATAAAAATCAATTATTGTTATTATAATTAATATTATTAGTTATAAGTATTATTGTTACTATTAGTATAATTACTATTATTATTATTAAAAAATATTAATTATTATTAAAAAATATTAATTATTATTATTAATATTATTATTAATTATTAATAATTTATTATTATTAAATATTAATAAATAATTATTATTATTTTTATTAAATATCAATAATTAATTATTGTTATTATTATTATTATTAATTATTAATTATTATTATTATTATTATTATTAAATATTTATTATTTATTATTATTTAATATTAATTATTTATTATTATTCTTATTAAATGTTAATCATTATTATTATTAAATATTAAATATTAATTATTTATCATTATTATTAAATATTAATTATTATTATAATAATTCAATATTAAGTATTAATTTAAAGTAGAGCAGAGCAGGGCAGAACATAGCAGAGCAGATTGAAGCAGAGCAGAGCAGATTTCAGCAAAGTAGAGCAGAGCAGAGCAGAGCAAAGTAGCTCTAAAGAACGAGGCTTAATTAATACTCCCCATGATCTACTAGATTAACTAATTAAATAATATTGAGGATATACTAGACGATATAAGTTAACGAAACCCGTTTAAAACTGGCAAAACTAGTTGTCAAACTGACTAAGTTCAACTCGAACCGATTACAACCCGAACCGATTGGGACTCGATATGTGTTGACCCAAAACCCACTTTAAACTGACAAACCCCGTTATTAAACTGACCGAATTTAACCCGAACCAATTATGACCGGAACCAATTATAACCCGACCCGATTAGAATCCGACCCGAAAAGAAACTGTATTAAAAATAAACCAAACCGAACTGACCCAAAATTATTTAAAACCAACCCGAACTAACCCGTTACAAATTGAAAAACCGATAACCGAACCCAAAACTGAATTGAAAATCCAATTGACACCCCTGGAAAGAGGGTATGAAGAATGTACGATTTGAAACAACGATCGTAGCTTTGCTTACAGAATGATTTTTTTTTAGGAATGTTTTTATTTGATTCAATAATTATGTATTTATTTGATCTAAATCTCTTTGTAGATGTCGTATGATTTTATTTATGAATCAATTTTATTTCAAAAAAAAAGGTGGGATGGATAATAAAATAAAAAATTTGTGAGTTAACTAAACAAATGGACATTTAATTGTTAAACTAGTATTTAGGGCTCGGACAATGTCCCGGATCATTGCACATAGCTAATCATTAATATACATACATTTAATTAATGAATCAATTATCAAATCTTGTAATTAAAAATGCTATTTATATTGTGTTTCACTAAATAATAATGTATTGTGGGATCATTAAAGACCAAAAAGTATGAGATGTTATTATGATCACCATATTGTATGGTCGTTCTATTATTGGAAAACCGGTGAAAGGTGGTGTTATTTTTGGCAAATTTTCCTATTTTTTTTTAAAAATAAGTTGATGGCACGAAATTAGAATCGAAATTAACACGTTTCACATATAACCTAGAATCGAAATGAGGAGAGTGACACGTGTCACTATAGGCGTCGTTTGAAGTGCGCCTATGTTAAAGCATGTGTGAAGATACTCGACACTCATAGAAAGTGGGAATTGACATAATACGAATAGGGACAAGGAAAGTATGGAGTCTAATCTCTACTTATAGCTTTAGTTTATGTTTTTCAGCTTTTCGGAAGGGCACTGTATGTAGTAGTACTTGGTTGGCCTCTAATTTTGCTTCTGTTTTGAGGTTATATTATGTTTTTAGTATCTCTGCCTCTAATTTTGTTAACGTTTTGAGGATTTTTGGTGTAAACATTATAAGTTTTTAATATATCGTCTTTTATGCGTTCAAAAAAAACGGTTCCGTAAAATAAACAAAAACTAAATACTGGAAACTATCATAAAGCAAAACTAAGAATAGAAAATAAGGAAAAGTCAACTCAAATAAATCCAACTACTAAAACTAAGCCTACTGCCAAATAATGAAAAGCTGTCCCTTGTTCCCCAATTTACGGGCTTTTATAACCCACAGAATGAAGACCGACTTAGCAAACTCAAAGTCGGTGGATGAAATCAAACTTGCCCGATCTATTATTATGACGCCCGATCGGGCCCGCCTATTCTCACGCCAACTTAGTTGATCACTTGGGGTTGGGCTTTCATTTGCTTTAGGCCCAAACCTCTCTCTAATCACTACTTGGCTCATCTAGTAAAATTTCGTGATACTTGTTTGGTCCGTACTAGTAACATGAACTTTGTAGCTTGCTTATTCAATCGAGCCCTTAATTACCGAACTAAATTTATATAGCTCGGCCTTTACGGTCATAAAATACAATCTGACTCCAATATCTTTGTACTGGCTCAATAAGCTCGGGAATTATCATAAATGTGCAAATTCCTACAAAATAATATCAACTCTACAAAAACACTAGAAAATGTATATAAGTAATAAAAATAGCTCCGTAGAGCTCAAATAAGCACAAATATGACCGTAGGATGGGGAATAAAATATATATAAAATAGACTCATCAAACTCCCCCAAGGCAAACCTTTTCTTGTTCCTAAGCAAGACAATGAATAAATAAATAAATACTTCAACCCAAACACAATTTAAATCAATAAACATAATTCAAGGAAAATCCGATAAATATGTATCATAGTCAATCAATCAAATCCATCCAACTACCATTATTCCCTAACAATTGTCAAATAGAGCAAACCACAAGAGTATATAGAATTCATGACTAGTGCTCACACACTCAACTCTCATTTATGTGGTGAGTAAAAGACGTACTCACTCTCTAACCACCCCTTTATATGTGAACAATGTCCTCCCTACTCACGACACTCGTGTTTTAAAAAGACAAGCACTCAACCTAATAGTCGACTCAAAATATGTCAAATCATTTTTCGCATTGATAAACAACTAATTTCACATTCATACAACTCTATGTACAAAGGTCGGAAGGTCTTTAAAGCTTGTAATGTAAGGCTAGGGTAAAAGGTAGGATAAATTTAGGAAAATGTGAGAGTAAAGCCATGCTTAAGGGAGCCAAATCCTTATAAATAAAACCAAGGTCAAAATTAAATAATGACAAAAAATCTCCAACTCAACTCTACAAAAATTCACAAACAAACCAACCAATAATAACAACATTTTCAACTCTTACAAGTTACAACTTCACTCAAACAAATATGATATTATAGAACGTGAGTGAACTAACAAACCTTGAACTCTTTTTTTTCTTTCTTTCAAATTATTATTTTTTTTCCTTGAGCAACCTTCAATTAGAACACTTTATCAACGAAATAATTTTTCTTCTAGCTTTTGTTTTTTTTGTTTTTTTTTTTTTTACTTTTATCTGACATTGGAATTCAACTTTGAAACACAAATTGTCATAATTTTTTCCATCACAAATTCAAAGAACAAATTACTCATCTTATATTCCCACGTTGTGCAAATAATATGCACACTACAACTCCCTCACCTCAATGATTAAAAGCTCCCCCAAGCAAAGCTTGAGACTAGTAACCAATGGGGCTCAAATAGGCTTGTAATATGGTTAAATAAACAACAAATAGTCAAGGCAACAACATGGGTAGCAAGAAGGGAACAAATGTATCTTATTTCATTTGAAGGCTACCTAAAGAACAAATGCCTTCGTCCTCCTCAATGTGCATAATAATGAGTCATACAAACATTACTAAAATTTAAAAATCAGTACTCAAATTCGTTTACATACCAGGAACTAACACACAATTCCTAACCAAATCAACTAGTCAAGCACTATATTCACAAGTATTTGGACAAAATTGACGCATATTAAGGTTTCAAGGCAATCAAATATCAAATCATGATCAACTAATCCATAATATTTATCATCATTTACCAAGAATCAAAATAATATCGAAATTTTTTTATCAAGGCGCACAAGGAAGCATGATTTAAAATTCATTGGAACGTATTTTTGGATTTTTTTTTATTTTTTCAATTTTTTTGTATTTTTTTTATTTTTTAAAAGCAATAAATCTAACTTATAAAGAAATAAAATCTATAATATAAAAGAAATAAAACTAAACTAAGAAAGCAAAGAAACTAAACTAAACACACCAAAGAAGATAAAAAGAAAAAGGAAAGAAAGAGTACCTATATATACAAGAAATTCCCCCCAAGCTAAATCAGACAATGTCCTCATTGGCTCAGAGGGAAACAAGTAATCCAAGCGACTACCCCTCATCATCAAACTCGTATCCGCCACCATACCAAATATTGCAATGCATCACCTTGGTACAATTTTGGACAAAAAAGAAGCAAAGTGTTAGTAAGAAAAGAGGCAAAAACGAATCAAGTTCACTATTTTGCTCATAATTTTTTTTATATAAATGATAATGAAGTGATTCTAATTTCATTGAAAAGTAGACTTGAAGAGATTTTCAATGATAGTTCACACGAAAAATTTCGTTAAGAAACGCAAAAGTTATGACATTTTTAAGTTGGCCAGTTTTGCTGCCGCGCTCTCGCGCCTAACCGAGTGAGCATGGCCCGACCGGGCCCGACTCCAAGGTACAGTCTGGTGGTTTTTCACCACTTGATGCAGGAAATTTCTTCCTACACTCGATTTTCTTCGTTTTTGCCCTGGATTGAGCAAATATCACTCGATCGGGTGGAACTT